ATTAAATGAAGACAGAAATGACATTTTTGTGTCAATTATACCTTATAAATACAGTATGTGACACTTTTAACACCCTTTGAAGGTGTCAATGTTACTGTGAAGATTTGTGCAACTGCCTTGCTTCTCTCCTGACCTTGAAAATATAATTGGCTCAATCGTAGAAAAGCTGAATTGAGATCGTGTGTAGGGTCGATTCGAAATCGTGATCTTTTTTTCGATTAATCATGCAGCCCTACTCAGATACCAACCATAGGCACAGATTCAGATTTCCACATTCTCAAAAGCATCCTTTTGGCAATTACCATACTACGGAGACCCGGAAGGGACGTGGTGATGGTAAAAAAAATGATTTGCGTTCCCTTGCAAAGATGTTTTGTGTTATCTCATTGTTTGTATTCACTTTCTTTCAATTAAAGCTGTGCGTTGATCATCGTTAACTTAAGCAACTGTTTGTGCTCATTTAGAAGAAAATTACTTATGTTTGAAATAAAACACGCAGGACGGTATATTTACTTATTATTAAGTGTATTTGTCTATTTAATCCCACAGAATTCCCAAAGTGTCCTGCACTTTAGCTCCTCTTTAAATAGCCTGTACAGAAGCTGATCTGGGATCATTGTATCATACAGATCGCGTCTATCAGTCAGTGCTTATACATGCATTTGCTGATTCAGAGGTTTCTTATAAAGGGAGATGCTCAAGGCAGAGCTTTAATGGCAAGATAGTGAATGCAGGCATTTTTTATATTAATTTGAGCATGCTTTCAAGATTAAAAATATATCAGAAATATGGGAAAATACATAATAATAGGATGATAGTGGGATAGAATGGTAAAATACGGGAGAATCCCGGCAAAAAAGGGAGGGTTGACATGCATGAAGTTAACTGAAGTGTTTGTGGAAAAACAGTTGTGCGAGAAAACGCAAAACGTCTTTGAGATAACACAAAACATCTTTGCGAGGGAATGTAAAAACTTTGTGATTTCCTTTTTTTTTTCTCCCACCCATTTTTTTTATTTATTTATTTTTTTTACTTCTATCCATTTTTTTTCTTCCACCTACTTTTTCCCCTCACCTTCACGTCCCTTGTGGGTCTCCATACCATACCAAATGACCAAATATTTAGGTTACTAAATATCCCACGAGCAGCTATAAGTGGACATGGTTCAAGATGTTTTTGTAGGGCTTTAGAAAAACATTCAATTATATTTTCCCATAATTCTTGTATAGGACACAATCATTTATTTACTTTTAATATGGTGTCTATTTTATTGTACTTGTAAGAACTGGGTATTATTATATTAATTAATCATCTACTTGTACTTACTGTGGGGCTGTAGGGTTAAGATTAGGTTTAGTTATTGTATTATACTTTATTTTTAGACAAGTGCATGTAGCACTGTAAAACAGTTATTGGTGTATTTTTTCATACTTTTTTGTATGGTATCTGTTTACTATGTTTGTCTTTTGGTTTGACTTGATTGCTTTGTTGTGTTTTTAATGATATTTCTTTTTTATGTATTTTATAAATTTGATTTCATTAAGTCTATATAAGCAAAAGTACTGAAACTGAAAACAATTATGTTTGGTATTTGCTAATGCTTAAGACAAAATCTATTTATTGATAGGATATCTGTTTTGAAAGTATTATTAGTTTTTGAAATATGTGAACCTGGACCAAAAATATTCTTGTTACACAGGCATATTTTCAGGTATATTTTGGCAATAGCCTGCAATACATTGGGTCCAAATTTATTCACATTTTTAATTATTTTTTTAAAGCCAAAATCATTAAAATTTCATGTTCAAGATCATGACCTATAAAGAATATTTGGTAAATGTCCTAGTGTAATTATATCAAAACTTAATTTTGCTAAGCATTTTATTTAGACAAAGCTTATTAAGAAAAGCTTATTTATTTGGTTTTCAGATTACAACAATCTAAAAAACTGTACCATTATGACTGGTTTTGAGGTGCAGTTCTACATTTATTGAGTCTAGTAAAGCACAAATTATGCCTTCCTTTGATAAACTTGTGTGGTTTTTAGTAATTCCTACATTTCTTTTCATACATCAATCTTTCACATTTCTTATAGATCATTCACTTTATGTTCTGTCTTGATCAAAGTGATTTTGTGAAGTCTAGATTGCCTGAATATTGATAAAGATCAAAAAATAGTATACAGATATATTTCTTTACTATTAATAATTGATTCGTTTTTAAGATTTTGGCCCTTTAATCCTTGTCAGTTTAGAAAAAGCTACAAGTTCTTAGAGATCATACACATCAGTGTAGAAATATATATCTTTACTATCAATCCTGAAACTACTAAAAATTGATTCATTTTTTAAAGATTTTACCCCTTTAAATTAGAGTTTATATTATGCTACTGTTGTTTTTATGAAATCAATAAAATAGTTTTTAGTATTAAATACTAAGCAGATTCTAGTGGATTAAATAGTTAACTAAGCAATTGAACTTATATTTTTATCAGTTTAATATCAGTTATTTTTTTATCTGATCACTTTAGATTTGTTTTACATAAATATTTGAAACATTTTTATCTGGTTTGATTTCTCTGACGCCCTGGGTGTAACTCCAGTTTGCCTGAATATTCTGTTGTATACTGTACACCACTGTACCTTCGACTCAGTGTTTGAATCTGAAAGCCAGAGTCTCTCTGACCTTTTAACCATGGAAAGTATCCCCATAACTCATAATATGTACTCAGGAATATATATAGAATGATAACATTTAGGAAAGAAGAAGCAGGATATAAGTCAGACTTGATTTCCCAGCTGATTGTATGTATTGGCCCGTGTGCAGCCTGGAATGGCAGTAAAGTTTAATGGAGAGCAGTTGAGTGCTGAAGGTCAGTGATGGTCATTTAAGAGCTTCATCAGTGCAACTCATCACAACCATATGGATGAAAGTGTCGTTTCGGTTTAAACCCTCACATTGGTGCCAGTGTTTTCAAAGCAACATCTGTTTCCTAGCCTTGATTTATGGAATCAATTATGAAATTACGCTCTGTGGAGTTTTTAAGTGTGTGATATGATATTTAATGAACGATCTGATTGTTGTGTCTTTAATTGAGGAACAGTAGGTTTTCCTGTCAAAGACTTTATGCTTTGATTTAATTCATCGAGTTAGTATTTTTTTTTATGTAAGTTTTTTTATGTAGTTCTAATGTAAATTTGTATTTATATTTTATTTGGTTTCTATTAGTTTTAGTACATTAAGTGAAAACAAATTGTATTAGTTTTTTTGACACTAGATATAATAATAGAAGTGCAAGTTACTTTTGCATTTAGATTTAGAGTATGTTTCAGATTTATAGTTACTAAAATATTTCCCAGAGATGGGTTGTGGCTGGAAGGGCATCCGCTGCGTAAAAACTTGCTGGATAAGTTGGCGGTTCATTCCGCTGTGGTGACCCCGGATTAATAAAGGTATTAAACCGACAAGAAAATGAATGAATGAATGAGTTACTAAAATAACCATGCTGTATTATCATATTATTACAGGATGTAAATAATTTCTTCCGTGTCAACCTAAAAAGTTAAAAGTTCTTAAAGGTATTGTGGTTTCCAGACGTTCCATTAATTAATCAAACTCAGTCTGGGATTATGAATATCAGAATACATTATTGGATATTCCAATAATGCAAAGATGTCCAGAGCTAATATATTTCTTCCCTGTTATCTCTGAGGAAAACTATTATAACTGATACATTAGTGTGTCACTTAAAAAAAGTTACTGGTTCTCGGAGGTCAAAAATATCAGTGTAGAAATATATATTTTATTATATATTTTATTGTTTATTTACTCTTAATCCTGATGAAAACTGTTAATAATTGGTTCATTTTTAAGATTTTAACCTTTTCATCATTGTGTGTCAGTTAAAAAAAAAGTTGTGGGTTCTTAGAGGTCAAAAATATTAGTGTAGAAATATATATTTTTACTATCAATCCTGATGAAAACTGCTACTAATGGGTTTGTTTTTAAGATTTTAATCCTTGTGTGTGTTTTAAAAAAGTTTTAAGTTCTCAGGTCAAAATATAAGTGTATAAATATATTTCTTTACTCTTAATCCTGATGAAAACTATTAATAATTCATTTCTAAGATTTTAATCCTTTCATCGTTGTGTGTCAGTTAAATAAAGTTACTGGTTTTCAGAGGTCAAAAATATCAGTGTAGAAATATATTTCTTTACTCTTAATCCTGATGAAAACTGTTAATAATAAGTTCGTTTTAAAGATTTGAAACTTTTCATCATTGTGTGTCAGTTAAAAACAGTTGTGGGTTCTTATAGGTCAAAAATATCAGTGTAGAAATATATATTTTTACTATCAATCCTGATGAAAGCCGCTAATAGTTTATTTATTTTTAACATTTTAATCCTTGTGTGTTTAAAAAAAGTTTCAAGTTCTTAGAGGTCAAAATATCAGTGTACCTGTAGAAATATATATCTTTACTCTTAATCCAGATGAAAACTGTTAGTATTTGGTTCATTTTTAAGATTTTAACCTTTTCATTGTGTGTCAGTTAAAAAAGTTGCAGGTTCTTAGAGGGCAAAATATCAGTGTAGAAATATATTTCTTTACTATCAATCCTGATGAAAACTGCCAATATTTTAACACTTTAAATTAAACCCATTAACCACTCTAAAGAATATGCATTGCTGCTGTTGTTTTTTAATGAAAAGAAATCCTTAAAATAGGATTCAATATAATAAATACTAAGCAGATACTATTTGGACTAAAATAGTTTAAGTAACTTGAGCAAATTAAAACTTTTTGTCATCAGTTGCTGATCATGTTAGACTTTACATTAATATTTGATACGGTTTAGCCTGGTTTGCTTCCTCTGACGCACTGGTTGTATAACCATGACTAGGTTGTATGTACTGTATGAATGAATGAATGAATGAACATGTATTTTATGTGACCGGTTTTGTTTGTTTTTTTCTTTATCTGTGTGGTTGTGTTTGCAGCAGAGGATGGAGGAAGATGAAGAGGACTCCCAAAGAGTGAAGCAGAATGGGGAGAGGAAGAGCGAGTGTGAGGAGGAGCGCAGAGAGATGATCACTCCGGCCTTGAGAGACTCATTGACTAAACAAGGTACAGCACGGCCTTCACCCGCCTCGGTCAATCACTCACGCAGAACAAAGATGTCTATGGCAGAAATGTAAACCATTTTACATCTGCACAAATACATAGTTTTTCTTTTTTCTCCACATAAAATTTAATGCCCTTGTACATTCCATGCTTGTGTTAAATACAGCTATTTTTGTATGCTGTTTATGCAGAGAAGTTTTGAGAATATAGGAACTGGAAACTTAACATTTAAAATACAATAATAATAATAAATAAACTTTCTACATTTAATTGGAGTTTTACATTGCAGGTTCAATTACAACTACTTGATTGGTAAACAAAGCTAGGATATATAACATCACAGTGTGATATACACAGATATACAATGTATGTTTACTGTTTATTATATGAGCATTATGATAAGAGTAGCAGTGTGATATGGCTGTATATCGGCACTGACGAGAGGTGTGCATTGGCTCAAGGCCGCAGGCCGAATGCCCTAGTGCCCTACCAGTGACGATATACAGGCATATCACACTGCTATTATCGTAATATTGCATTTATACAACAGTTTGACAGCATAATTGTGTATATAAAAAAAGAAAATCAAAAACAGAGAATATAAAAAAATACTTGTGTATGAAGAACTTCTTCTGCCATTAATTCACATCTGTAGCTGACACCAGAACAGCAGAAACCGTTACTAATTCACAAATGGCACTTTAGAGCTTGTATTTGAATGATTCTCTTGCGTAATGTCTAAAGTGATGACAAAACAGGTCATTTTTGCTCACATTGTAAGAATATAAGTCTGAACAGCATGAAATTTCATCAGTCTACAGAGATTTCTCAGTATTTCTCTGTTGCAATCAGGATATCGCAATAATTAACCCCAAAAATACCAGATTACTTTGGTATAAATACAGCACTACAACATACAAAAGAGAGAGATTGACCTACAATGTCACACACCTGGTCTATAATGATTTGATCAGCTGTAGTTTGAAATATGAAAAGAAAACAGTCCCTTTAAGGACAGACTGATTATCGAAAATCTCTGGTAATGGACAAAGTCGTAATCTCAAAATGATAATCTCCAAAATTATAAATATTTAAAAATAGGTACTGTATTTATAAATAAACTGCATAGTTGCAATCTAAACAACTATATTCTCGTTTAAAAAAAGCTTCAAAAGTACATTGTTGTCCAACAGTTGCAATATTTGTCAAACTGTAGTAAGCTGCTGTCACTATGTGGGTGGAGTAATACACAAGGATGAAAAGGCTGCATGAGTGCTGTTATTGATAAATATCGCACAGCTATCAGCCAATCAGATGATAAGATTAGAATAAAGATTTGAATATCAATAGATCTGAACAGATCAGAATATAACTGTGTTCATTAAAATTCATTGTGGTCTGAAAGTCACTCTTTATGTAATACATTAAAAATCATTCTGACCAAAGATTGAAAGCGTTTAAAGTTTTTTTTAAATATGAAAAAAAAAAATTTTTTTTAACAGAGACAAATTGATCCAAAATCATAAACAGAAACTCAAAAAACTCATCAAATTCTATGATATACAGTAGTATTATGAAAACATGTTAAAAACAAAATTAGCACTGATTTCAACAGTGATAATGGGAAATGTTTCATGTGACACTGAAGACGTCTGAAGAGAAAAGTGTGCGAGTCAGGTCTAAAAAAATATATTAAAATAGAAACATTTAAACTGTATTTAGCAACAATAATGTGAAATTTAATATTATAAAAGGCAGTTTTTTAAATCAAATTAAAATAATAACTTTTGAGAAACTTATATCTTTAAGAATCTAAAAGTTATTCTAAAAGTAAAAAAAAAACTTTTTTTTTTAAATGTTTGATTCATAACATAAAGTAAGAATAGTAATTGTGCTGCACCACCGTAAAATCCCATTTCTCTGTATTTAAAATGAGCTCTGCAGTGTTTGACATCTAGCGTTAAATAAGCTTTTACATCAGTGGAAATGCCCGGGCTACACAAGCAACTCCCTGATTACTGTTATATCCCATTTCCCTGATGATGGACAGTCGTTTCCTGCTCTCCCAGCTGCTTTAATTGAATATGTCTGAGATTTTTTTTTTCATCTCTCAAAAAACCGGATACCAAAGCCCTGATGGTAATTAGGTCTTTGGAGCTGGCAGTGTCACCATCAAGATATTAAACCTGGTTTGAATTATGTTCATTTCTCACACTTTTGACAGTTTTTGCTTTCCGTAAGCGGCCTCTCATACTTGTTATTAATAAACTGGCTGTGGAGCTGCGAGTTTTCTCCTATTGTGCACTACAAATTTCACCCCGTCGTCTGGTTTGTGATGGAGCCTCTGATGGTGTGACTGTGCCTAACGGAGCTTAATGATGCAGCAAAGCCCAATTACTCCTCTCCTGCTGCCGGAGTTCCCTTGAGCTTCTCGCTCCACACCTTTCATTAGCACAGCCTGCCTTCAGCCGCACTGCACACCGGAGGCTGCCTGCTCTCACATTTCCACTAAGGTTATTGGTGCTACCAATCAGTGTCCACTGTGCTTGCGGCACTGAGCATGTTGTTAGTTTAACATGCTTGATATAGCAAAATTCCAATAAACAGATTTTCAAAAATGAAGCACGTACTGATTGGATATTCTCTTAGGATTATTGATAATGCAGTGCCTTATAAAGAGAATTTATACTGGTGTACAATTCTCACACAAACCTGTGTTGAACAGTAGTTTTCTCAACACAGTAATCAAAGGCCAACTTTAATTTAAGCTCTATCACCTCTTCAAGTGTAGAAGAACTCAATTTGATTGTAATTTAATAACTTTGTTAAAATAAAGTAATATGCTGTCTTGTCTGTATATTTCGTTCTAACATTTTTTTATTAAAAGATTCTTTCTACCATGAATGACCAAATTGACCACATGTATTCCAGTGTCTGCTACTTCTGCTTTGCTGTGCCTTAGAATATGCATGCTAACAAGCACAACTCTCTGATAGCAAAAACATAACTTTACTTCAGACATATCCATCCATCCATCCATTCCATCCATCCATTCCATCCATTCCATCCGTCCATCCATCCATCCATACATCCATACATCCATCCATACATACATCCATACATTCCATCCATCCATCCATCATTGTCTACTGCATATCTGGGGCTGGATTGCAAAGACAAATGCTCAATTCCCACTCCCATACACTTCTTCCAGCTCTTTTGGTGGTATCCCAAGGTGTTCCCAGGCAAGCTGAGAGACATAGTTCCTCCAGCATGTCTTAGGTCTTTTTTGAGTCCTCCTCTCTGTGGGACTTGCCTGAAACACCATCTTATTTAGGCGTCCAGAAGGTATCTGAAACCAACCCCTGCTGATTTTTTTTTATGTGGAGGAGCATCGACTTCTGACTAGAGGTGTGAACCTACACTGGTCTCATGGTTTGGTTTGATTACGATTATCATGCCATCGATTTGGTTTAATTCGATATCTCGGTGCATTACGGAGCATTGATGATGCTTTCCATACACAATTTTATATTTTACTTCACAGCACAGCAATTCTTGTACTAAACTTTTAAAAGTATATTTATATAATATTCATTCATTCATTCATTCATTTTCTTGTCGGCTTAGTCCCTTTATTAATCCGGGGTCACCACAGCGGAATGAACCACCAACTTATCCAGCAAGTTTTTACGCAGCGGATGCCCTTCCAACCTCAACCCATCTCTGGGAAAAATCCACGCACACATTCATACACACACTCATACACTACGGTCAATTTAACCTACCCAATTCACCTGTACCGCATGTCTTTGGACTGTGGAGTAAACTGGAGCACCCGGAGGAAACCCACACGAAGGCAGGGAGAGCATGCAAACTCCACACAGAAACGCCAACTGAGCCGAGGTTGGAATCAGCGGCCCAGTGACCTTCTTGCTGTAAGGCGAAAGCACTACCTACTGCGCCACTGCCTCGCCATTTATATATTATTTGTAATTCACTTTTGTCCTTTAATACAAAGTCAGATATATGAACTTTACCTTTAAAAACTCAAGTACATGCACAGAACAACATGAACATTTATAGCAAATTAACAAATATAAACATACCACTAGCTTTCTGAGCCTTGTCTAGCGAGTTTTTTCTTACTCCCCTATGATTTGTAATACGCTCAACAGAAAGGGCTGCTATTGGCTCTAAGGCTGTGGTGCTGTTCACCGAGAAGAAAACTCGCTCTGCAGACACACGCTCGTGTCTGTATCGAGAAGTATCATTGTGACAACCAAGAGGAGAGTAACTTTTACCTCACGACAGCAGGTTAAAGATCCACAGTGAGAGAAAGCGATATAGAGAAATGGACAAGCAGTGAGTTGTGCACAGTTTCTGCATTTTAAGTAGTTTGAGTGTTTTAATTACTCACACTTGCCTCCCTAAAATAGGTAAATAGGTTAATGTTAATTTTTACTCATGTAGTCAATTAATTGCTTTTTACAGTGTAATTTAGGTGTTAATACGAGCCTTAATATAAAGAGGATATGTCAAATTTATTATTGATTTAAAAAAAGGAAAATAATATTGGCTGTTTTTCAGTCACCGGCCATAATGTAAAAATAGGGGCTTATCAGAGGGTAAATGCACAATCTTCTTGTCATTCTGAAAGAGAGCATGCAATGTGACTAAAAGGGGAGGGATTTTGTGATATGTGGTAGTATGTGTTTTTTTTATTTTCATAGTTTACATTTTTAAGGAGGGAAATAAAACACACAGTTGAAGTCAGAATTATTAGCCCCCCTGTCTATTTTCTCCCCCAATATCTGTTTAACAGAGATTTTTTTCAACACATTTCTAAACATAATAGTTTTCTAATTTCTAATAAATGATTTATTTTATCTTCGCCATGATGACAGTAAATAATATTTTTCTAGATATTTTTCAAGACACTTCTATACAGCTTAAAGTGGCATTTGTTAACTAGGCAGGTAAGGGTAATTAGGCAAGTTATT